TCTCTCGATATACATTTACACACGTCAAGACGCACAACGGCTGTAACGGTTATTAGACATTATTATTACTATCATACTCAGAAATATATACGTGCTATTTAGTTGTATTTCACCTCCTGGTTATTTCTTTATGGCGATTCCCACAATTACACAACAATTGCATTTTACTTTTTTTTTTAAAAATCAGTACGAGATATATTCCAACAACAATCCGATATAGAAGAACACACAAGGAAATGAACAAGGTACTGCACACAATGTGGGCAAACATTGAAATGTGGAAAAATAACTCAATAAAAAATAATGTGAGAAAAAATAACTCATGACTGACAATTTTAATAAAAAAAGAACACAAGTTTCTGTAATGTTATTTTTACTATTCCTTGTGTGTCATTTTTCATCATTTGCTCATAAATCTTAACACCCACAGTGTCAATCAAAAATCTGTACCTCTTGAGTGAGTTCCGCAGTGGATACTGGTAGTGGAGAATTCTGTGTTACGGTTGGCGTCTCAGTTGATGTTGGAACAGATACACTAGGACCCGCCGAATCCTCGTCTATGTTAGATTCGTCGATATTCAACAGATAAGCGTGTATAGCATTGAGGCCAGAGTTCATTCTATTGTATCTGCCAAGTGAGTTTAGTTCTTCAAACAGATCCCTCTGATAATTAAGGAGCATGGAGTCCGGGTTCTTCGGGTGCAGAAACATCGGACGATGAATGATCGTGTGGTCCGTGTGCCATCCGGATGATCCATTGGTGAGATCCAGCGAACCCACGTTGAGCGTCCGAATGTCCAAACCGAGATAGGACTCCGGATCGACACGAAGCAGGGAGAGCAGCAGTGCCAGTTGGAGCAGCTCCTCCCGGTACAATTTTTTCACGCACAACATTTTTGCCGTAATCCTCCGCAGATCGAGTCACACACAACGACGCACACAGTTCTACGTAATCCCGCGATCCTGTTGTCACAGTGGCTGACAGTCGAGTTCGAACTGTGGGCTCGTCATCACGAGAAAGTGACGTGACTTGACAGGATGTTCGACATGGCACCGAAGTAACACCGGAATATTTACAACGAAAACGTAGAGTCTTTCGCGTGAAATAATTCTCATCGACCGTCTCTGTATTTACGCGACTAGACGCATCTCGAGCGATTCCGGGAACGTCACGAGTGTTCTTTCTAAGAGGTTAGAATACGAAGACGCGCACGACTCGCGACTCCGTTTTTTTTGACCGGGGTTTTCGCGCGGGAAAAGACGCGCGGAGCGTCTGTTGTGTTGCGGGAAAACGCGAGCCGTCGCTCGAAACGCCGGGACGATGATAAAAGATCCGCGTCTGCCGTCGGGACCGGTGTAGGTAGGTCAGTATACTTACGATAGAGACAATGGTACGAAAATAACCTCAAAATCGCGCGCACGCGAGCCACATCAAACTGTACCGCGCGTGTCTCACACGCATGTCTCTCTCGGCGCTGCTTTGACAGCCGACTACGGCACCTCCGTGTGGCGCATTCGGGCAACAACCAATCGCGCTGACAGTGCGTGCAACGGTCGAGGCTGCTCGTGATCCACGCGCGAATCAGCTGCGATTCAAGAGCGAGCAGGACGGAAAAACATTTTGACAGTCGGTCTTACGTACGTACACGTAAATACGGGAAAATGCGCAAAACAAAAGAGACAAATAGAAAAAAAAAAAAAAAACAATCAACCGTCGCGTCGTTCGAGAAAACCGCGAAAAAAAACTGTCAGAGAAAACTTCGACCGTTCCGAAACTCTAATAATCACGACCGATTAAAACCGATTGTATATTGTTCGTGCCCGTGTTCATTTGTTACAATTGCGCTATTGACAATCTTGTTAAAAGAAAACACTTTGATACTCACACGACGCGTGTGACGCACGGAGAGAACTGCTTCGGTCAAACGAGCCGAATTATCGCGCACCTTGCCGGGAGAGATCGTTCCGCGATATGTGACTCAGCAATCGCAATGTCCGTTCGCGCTGGTTCCGTGCTTGCCAGTGTCGCACCAAGGCGACGAGTCTCCCCGACAATTTCCGACCGCGACCGATCGGCGCGTCCCGGTTGGCGAAGTCTTCGCGAACGATTTTGTTTTTGCGCGCTTTTATTAGTACAAAGAGAAGCAACAGTAATAACAAGTCTCTCGACGCGATCGATCTCTTACGTTATCATCATTGACGATAACGTTGTTACGTTATTACCGCATCGTACGATACGGTCGCATCGCAAAAAAGTGCAGAAAACAGTATGTAAAACTGTTTCTTTTTTTTTTTTTATTATTTAAGGTCAAATACATTTTATATCTTTCTCTCTCTCTCTCTCGCTCTCTCTCTCTCTCTCTATCTCTATCTCTATCTCTCTCTCTGTGCGTACTAATCATTACACTACAAAGAAAATGTTATTCTTCGGACCGGTTTCATCATCTCCTCTATCAATTTTATATAATCAATCGATTATTCCATTTAATCAGAATGTTTTCAATTTTTTAATAAGTAATCGCCACTCGATTGATAAAACTTGAAGTGGATCTTCTGAAACGTCTTTGACTGCGTTTAAAAAGTAAGTCAGTTTGTTAATTCTTTTATACGTGGACAATTGACCGGTTCTTTCCGTTCTTGATCAATTGCGGAAACGGATCACATATGCATACAATCGGGGGGAAGCACGTAAGCGCCTTTCGCATGAAAATAAATACATTGGGTCAAATAATGCTTCTTATCGTTTGAGATATTATTAAGCGCGCGACTTTATACGTGTGCGAAGGCATTTACGCGGTGCGAACCGCGTTTTGTTTTTGTATTTTTATTGTGCAAAAGTCATTCGGAAAGAAATACGTTTTTCCTACGAAAAAATTTACACGAGGCAAATATCGTGCGGACACGTGCAATGTTTTTTTTTTTTACCTTCGATTAAAATACACGCATGATATGCGGTTGCGAAACACGAGGCAACAAGTTTGCTTCTCCAACAAAGAAGCTACACGTGCCTCGTTTTCATTCGTTCCTATTTCGTCCGACTTCGATTCTCTCATACGAGACTACTCTGTCGTCAGTCTGTGAATCAGAGGTCGGTATTTATAATACGATCTTGTACATTTGAGAGATCATCTTAAATTCATCTGCCGAACATTTACCCTAGATCTACCCGAAGATTGACTCGAAAGACGATATATATGTGTATAAATAATTGTATAACACTTTATACCACAATATTATACTATACAGAGTTAATTAAGAAAGTCTATTTTCTATCTCGTAAATAATTCACGAAGTCGCGAAGACCATCCATCGATAAAGTAAACCGCTCTCAAGGTGTTTTAATGAAGTTTGTGTATATATATATATATATATATATATATATACGTATGTGTTGATCCGATATCACTTTTATTTTTCAACAACGATCATTCCTGTTCTTTTCTTTCGACATTTATAACTACGAGTTGCAACATTCGCGATGGTTTTATGATCTTCGACCTTTATCACGTGATTGACTACGCGTCGTTGCCACGTTTCTTGCGAACGCGAGCAAAAACCTGCGCTTATGCGTAATCGCTTGTATATACGCACGTATATGTATATTAGGCGAGAGATTTCCATTTAACGCATTCTCCTCGCACTTACCTGACACACGGTCGACGGCGATTCGTCGTTCGGCGACGGCGATCGCGTTTGCGATGGAGTTTCCGCGAGTAGCATCGTTTTTTTTTCCTTCACACGAAAAGCAACGTCAAAAACCTTCTGTATCTTCGCTGCGATTACGCTCGCGTTATCACAAATCCACTTCTCCGTCAGCCCACCAACACAGTCACTGTGTTCTCGATTACACGAGAGAAACGCGATCTTTAATACGCCGCGATACAGTTTGTCAGGCGCGTGATCACCAAAGATCGACACTTTCTTCAAAGCAATTTTGTTACCGTCGCGATCAATTCCGCGTTTCTAATAAGCATCTTTATATCGTCTTCTGTTTGTGTTTGTTGTTTGTTTTTGTTGACGCTAAAATCGCGATATCTCTGTTTTGCGCGACAGTGCGGCGATCGCGTTGTTTGCGACGAGATACTTAAATAGAATTAATGGAATCAATGGACGAATTTCAAATTTGCGTTGTTTCTCAGAGATTTGTTAAAAACCATAAAAGTGTCAAATTTTACAAAAAGTAACGATTAAAAATAAAAATAAATTTGTCGGTCGCATATATTGTGTTTTGCAGTTGAATTTCAATGTCGCGCGCGCTAATTAGTACCGTGATCTATGACATACAGGCTGCGTTCGGGGAGCGCGCTGTTACGTCATTTTATCTTTATTGCTCATTAGATGTAAAACAAAGATAGAATGACGCAATAGCGCTGACAGCGTTAGACAAACTATAGACAAACGTCATGCGAGATTTCATTAGCGAGTGATGGCGTGACGGTCGTATTTTTCTGCCGTTTTTTTTTTTTTTTGGGGGGAGGTAACGAACAATAAAGAGATTTCGAAACTCCCTTTTTTTTGTGGCAAACTGAACACATTTCCTTGTATAATAAACTATTACGACACGTGATAAGACGTTGTTGCATTTCGGAGTCTGAAGAAGCCGCCAGCCAATATTTTTTGTCGCACGTGTCGTCTCTATAGTACGGACACGCGTAAGTCAACACTCTAAATTAAAACATTACATTTCAAAGACATAATTGTTTTTTTATAAATACAGAAGTTATTTCAAACACGAGTTTGATTGTAAGTAATTGAAGCTTAATTAATTATAATTTTTAACAAATAGTTCTAATAATTGTCGATCAATTAATAAATGTTTTTATAAATACATTGAGAGAGAAGGAGAAGTTATTTTAAAAAACTCTTTTTGATATATGTACTTTAAACATATAATATATTCATTTATATACTTGTGTGTACATATATTATCTCACATTCTCTTTTATACAACAAAATATCTATGACAACAGTACAATTGAGAACGGTATACAATATATATACGATTACGTCGGTACAATTTATACATATATAAGATGTAAAGACAGCCTCGTTCCCTTAAGACGTTATTATCGTGTCGTGATTGCGTAAAATACACACGTAATATTCATAAATATTCTTGATTCTTATATTTTTCTGGTATCCAGTCTTTCGATATAGCGTTTGTTTCGTCTCGCGTACGCAGTGGATTCGCGCAATACAACAGAATCTATATATATATTTTTTTTTTCTTAATAAAACAAAAGCAATTCGTTAAATCGACACGGCCATCGACATTTGACAACGATGTTGCTCATTCTTGATAAATTACACATTCGCACTTAAGAACTAACAAGAACCTGGATTTAAACTACTATATCGAAAATAAAGTACACACGTTTTTTTTTTTTTATTTTCAAAATCGTTGTGGGAGGATCGGAGGAAACTCACAAATCGCAGTTTCGATCGATGAACACGCATGTAACGAAAGTATTACGTTATATGTTACTTTAACACGCGTACTTTCGGACGTTGTAAGAAGTTTGTCATAAAATAGGCCAATTAGGTCGCATCTACCGCGTTGTCCGTTGATTGACTCTTCAGCGAGAGAAGATATCCGTTAGTGAAAAAATATGTTTATTTACACGTAAAGTCTAATTGTGCGTCGATTTTTTTTTTTTTTTTTTTTTGGTTTTGTTTTTTAATTCGCCGTTTCGGAGTGTATCAAAATCTATTCAATGGAATGATAAAAAAATGATCGATGCTGCCGTTTATTTACAGACTTTCGCTTACACTTACGCTCACACTGACACTTTTCTTCTTCACGTGCGCGAGGAAAGTCTCGGTACGTATATGTATGCGTGCGTGTTCTCGGTTCGCTCGTTAAATCTTGTTAAATGTGATGCAAAAAATGTTATGAACTAACTAAATTGAATCTGATTGGAGAAGTGTTAATGAGAAATATTAAATGTTGAGAGAATGTCATTTCTTGTGACGACGAGAGTGAATGAAGGGCAGTTTGAAATAACTTATATCGAGGAAATTCGAAGTACTTGTGTGTTCGAGCATGACGATTGCGCGTTTCATTTAATCGTATCGCGTCTCAATTGTTCGTTTACAAGAACACACAGAATTTGGTAAGATTCGAAAAAGAAAAAGCAGTGTGTAGGGTGTAGTTTTTGACGATTGCCCGATTGCAGCGGAAGTGGTTTTGTAATCGACTATAATTGTTTTCCCCGTATAAGTTTTTTTTTTTTTAGACACTTTGCAGACCTCTCTTCACGTTTTTATATATATATATCCGTGGTGAGAATGATTTTATAAAATAGATATCTAAGTTTTTTTTTTTTCAGCCTTATATATATGTAATCTCAGAACGTGTTGCGAATCGAGTCCGGATCGTAAAAAAAATAATTAGCAAATAATTGAATATTTCCGTTTAATATCTTTCGCTGTTTTTTTTTGTCCGTTTATTGTCCAAGCAGTTGATCGGAAGATGAAGAAAAGAGGTGGTAAATTACCGCGAAATCTATAACGGAACTTCAATTTTTATGTCAATGTGCAATTTGTGGCAATTTGCGCGCGTGTTCTGTTCGATGAATAATAAACATTTGCGCGATTGATGATTAAAACCTCTAGTCCATTTGCAATTATTACAATGAAGTGCCTGAAAAACCGGGACGTTCGAGAGATTTTTAAACAAGCTTAGCGCGTCGATGTCGTTACGTCAACATCTTTTACAAAATCGAACACGGAACACGTCTCTCTTATATTCTAATACATGCACACCGTATATATATATACATATAAAGCGTTCTTCAGATTATAGAAATTTATTTATTTTTTTTTTCTTTCTCATAATAAAATATCCAAATATCTCTATCTATGCTACTTCTCCGCATGGAGAACAATCAACTCCACGCGAGACGTATCCTGCGCCTCCACAGCAGCCACTAACAAACACCAATACGCGACACACACGGTACATCGATCTTTTTGTTTCACAATTAATTCGTCATACATATATATATATTTATATATATATATATATATATATATATATATATATCCATCTGGCACGCGGCTGAGTGTTTTTTGTTTTCTTTAACACCTTTTTTTATTCTTTCTGGACGTTACGATACGGTCACAGACTCCAAGCGATTTAACATATTACGCTTCCTCGCCTTACATTGATATGCTACTTAAACGTGCGGGACGATTGCTTTCGTACACTCATGATAATCCTATATACTTTACCTTTAAATTCCGGCGCAACACGTCGTAACCGTAAGAGTTTATTACACGCATGACTTATCTAATTAGCGATTTTTCTTCGACAAAAATTCGTCGCACAAGCTCGACTCTTCCTGTTTGAATTAATTATATATTGGATGGTTCACAGGAGTGTGTAAGGGCTTTTGGACATCACGTGGAGATGTGATTGCGCTGTGTCGCTCTCTCCTTATGATAATAATAAATAAATGTCACGGGGGGAGACTAAAGCTTTCGACGCGTCGAAAAAGTAGGCGTATGTCGTTAACCCTTTTTTTTTGTTTATTACTTACGCCGAGCGTCGGCGCTCGACGACGCTAACCCCAGGAACAATGTGATGCCCTCCGCCCTCTCGTGGTTTTCAATTTTTTTTTTTTTTTTTTTTTTTTGTATACTAGTGATTCGAGCGGCACGCACTGCGTGCGCGGTAAATAAATACTTTCGAAAGTGCGTATAAATCGGTTGTATATAATGTAATTACGTACAAACTATTCGGCTTTTTTACTTACGCTTGTTGAGGGGATCTCCCTTCCGGCGAGTAAACTATGATAACGAGATTTTTTGTACAGAATTAGGACTGTTGAAGTATTCCTTGAAGATTGTTTTTTTTTTTTGTTGGTTTTTTTTTTTTTTTTTTTTT